CTTAAATATTCTGCCTTCAAAATGGACGCTTTATTGTTTATCTTTGTTCCCTTTTAAATTTTTAAATGGTATCAATGCGGTCAAACCAAACTTTAAGCCCAAAATTCAGTCTAATTTTTCAGCCAAATTCGTACTATGAAAACCATCAAATTTCAAAAGAAAAAATCTACACGGCTCGATTCGGATTAGTCGGTTTTCATGTAGATTCGAAAACCGAAAGGTCCCTGTACCAAAAAAAAAAAGAAAGAAAAAATCAATAAAAATATTTATTACTATATAATAGAGAGAAGGAAAAATACAAAAATAATATGTAAAATTTTTGCTCATTTTTTCGTATTTTACCAATAAAGGATTTTTTTTTTTTAGAAAAAATATTTTAGAAGAATCCCGCCTAAAATTTTATAATATATTAATTTTCTGCTACATCAATTAACAGAAAGATTAACTCGACTAACTATCAATAACTCAAAATAATCACTCAAAATAACATATTCAATCATCAATAATTAAACCCTATAATTTTGGAGTCTTTATCCCATTAGAAACTCGACTAACTATCAATAACTCAAAATAATCACTCAAAATAACATTATAGTAATTTTAGTCCCAAAGTTTCAACTTTTCGTCTTTTGGTCAAAGGACTGATGTTGCAGCAAAATATTATGATTGAGATCAAAATAAAAATTTAAATTACATGGTTTAAATTGTTAATAAAAAATATATCCAAAAGATATAAATTGGAAATTTATTACAATTTCAGTCATCAAATGACTGACATTGCAGTAAAATATTAAATTACAGGATCCAAAGACGAAATGTTAGGACCTTAAGACTAAGATTGCTAAGACGTTACACCAGCAGGACTAAAAACACAATTTAGCCCACTTTTTATTACTGCAATTCAACCTTTAAACAATATTGTTACAAGTATATAATTTAACTTTTTATTACTACGATTCAATTCAAAAATCAAACATCCATTTATAGAACCTAGTTTTGATTAAGGAAATCAAATGCTAAATGGTTGAAAATATAATTAATGACATTAATTTCATTCCTATCTGGACATAATATTATATGTACCGACAGATAATAATCTTATTTTTTTACCAATTTTTCGTGGTAAAAAGGAGAAAGTTAATGATATATACATCAAAGTGTCACATTGAAACTATTACAAAGGATATAAAAACTGAACCCGCTTGATTTTGCTTTTGCACGCAAAAATCTTTCGTTCGAACAAACAAGATTGTTAAGAGTATATAATTTAACTTTTTATCACTACAATTCAATTCAAAAATTAAACATCCATTTATAGAACCTAGTTTTGATTTAGGAAATCAAATGCTAAATGGTTGAAAATGTAATTAATGACATTAATTTCATTCCTATCTGGACATAATCTTATATAGTATGTACCGACAGATAATAATTTTTTTACCAATTTTTTGGGGTAAAAAGAATAAATTAATGATATATACATCAAAGTGTCACATTGAAACTATTACAAAGGATATAAAAATTGAACCCGCTTGATTTTGCTTTTGCACAGAAAAATCTTTCGTTCGAACAAACAATATTGTTACGAGTAAATAATTTAACTTTTTATCACTACAATTCAATTTAAATATCAAACATACATTTATAGAACCTAATTTAATTTAGAAAATCAAATTCTAAATGGTTGAAAATGTAATTAATGACATTAATTTCATTCCTATCTGGACATAATCTAATATGTACCGACGGATAATAATTTTTTTTTTACCAATTTTTCAGGGTCAAAAGGAGAAATTTAATGATATATACACCATAGTGTCACAATGAAACTATTACAAACGATATAAAAACTAAACCCGCTTGATTTTTCTTTTGCACACAAAAATCTTTCGTTCGAACAAACAATATAGTTTGGAGTATATAATTTAACTTTTTATCACTACAATTCAATTCATAAATCAAACATCCATTTATAGAACCTAGTTTTGATTTAGGAAATCAAATGCTAAATGGTTGGAAATGTAATTAGTGACATTAATTTCATTCCTATGCTCACGGGCTTGAAGCTAATCGAGACACTATGGTCACGGGTCTGTAAATAAACTATGTCCATTTAGCAATATAGAAACTCTTGAGGTAAGCGAACCCTGAAGTTCAATGAGTATGAGCCTTTTGGAGTTCCATTCATCCTGACAAAGAGATTAGAGCCCAACAACATAGCGTCAGATCTGAGCTCCTCTTTTTGCTGCAGACGTAAGTTAAATGAGAGGGAATGAAGAAATAACTACCAAACAAACGTCGCACTTTAACCAAACTATTTCATCCTCTTAAGTGTCTTTAAAGCGGCCTCCGCAAAAGCCTGTACAACCTTGGCATCAGCCTCAGTTGCCTCAGCTTCCCGAGCTTCCACTTCAGCTGTAGCTTCGACTTTAGCCACGACTTGAGCCACAACGGGACAGTCAATTGAGGGGTCATGTTTCTCATCTTTGGCAGCTACAAATCAATCTGCGATTTTGAGAGTTGATTAACACTG